TTTTAAATTTATTAAGATTAATTTTTTGTTTCTTAATATTAGTAATTATTATTTTCAAATTATTTATTAATAATCTTTTAAGTTTAAATATTTTCATCTTTTTATAATTTTTATATTTTTTCTTATTAAATGCTATTTATCTATTTTATATTTTCTTAAGAATCTTGTTTATTTATTATTTTAATTTCATATTAGCTATCTTATAATTCATTATTTATACACTATTTCGAATTTTGTTCTGAATTTCTCTGATAATCTTTAGTTTACTAATTTATCAAAATAATTTCATTTTTTTAATATTTTTCCTTTTTTTATTTAATTTTTATTTTTTATATTTATATACTTAATTTTATTATTAATTTTTTACTTTATTTTCATTTTAATACTAATCTTATTCATAATCTATAATTTATTTTGTTAGGCCTTTTTATTTTTATATTAGATTCTCATTAATTATTTATTAATCTTTATATTATAAAGAATCACTTTAATTTGAATTTTATAATAATTCATCTTATTAATATGTATTATTATCTACAAAATTCTATTATTTTATACTCTCGTCTTGCTATATAGCTTATTTTTATAATAAGTTTTATTATTCTTTACTTTCTAGTTATTTAATTTATTATTATTTTATTTCTTTTTATTATTAATTTTATAATTTATTTTCTTTCGAATTTGAATAATCTATATTTACTTGTTATTATTTATACTGGTTATTTTAGTTCAAAGTATTTATTTAATTTTCGATTTAATTAGATTATTTATTTTAATAATCACTTTGATTTTATATATCTACTTCAATTTAATTTTGATTATTCGTATTATCAAATTTATTAGATATTTTTTAATTTATATTTTTTTATTTATTTTATGTCTAATCATTATTTTTCTAGTATTTATTATTGATTAAACTTTATTCTTCTTTTTTTTATTTTTATTATACACTCTATTTTTTTATTTCAATATGTTTTTTATTGTCTTAGTTTTCATATAAATTATTTTAATTAGATTCTATAAGATTATTTAATTTTTGTAATTGTAATAAACATTATTTTTATTATTAATCATCTAAATTATCAATCTCCTATTATTATTATTACTATTTTTATTAAATTTATTTTTATTTTGAATTTTATACTTCTTCTTATAAGTCTTATTCTTCTAAATATTCATTTTAGACATTATTTTATTATTCCTGTAATTTATTTTTTATTTATTTAACACATTATAATTATTATTCTTCATATGCAAGTTATTGTTTTTATTTTAAATTATCTTCTAATTAATCGTTATCTTATTATTCTGTTAAATTTTATAATATTACAATTTCTTATACTTAATGTTATTATAAATCTTCTTATAATTATTTTTGTATATTTTATATTTCTTCATTATATTATTAATATAATTAATTCTTTTTTTTAGAATTATTAATGATTGTTTTTATTACAAATTAATTTTTATTCTTATTCTTATAATAATTATTGTTCTTATTCTTATTCTTATTCTTATTCTTATTTCTTATTCTTTATTCTTTATGTCCTATCTATCTATCTTCTATCTATCTATCTACTTCTCTATCTATCTCTTTCTTATTCTTTTCTTATTCTTATTCTTATTCTTATTCTTATTCTTATTCTTATTCTTATTCTTATTCTTATTCTTATTCTTATTCTTATTCTTATTCTTATTCTTATTCTTATTCTTATTCTTATTCTTATTCTTATTCTTATTCTTATTCTTATTCTTATTCTTATTCTTATTCTTATTCTTATTCTTATTCTTATTCTTATTCTTATTCTTATTCTTATTCTTATAATAATTATTTTCCTTATTATTATTATAATTATTATTCTTAATTTTATTATTATAATTATTATTATTTTTATTCTTTTTTTTTTTTAATAATTATTTTTCTTCTTATATTTTTTATTTTATCTATTCTTTTTATTCTTACTATTTTTCTTATACATTTTTTAATTATTAATATTATTTTCCTTCTTCTTTTTATTATTAATATAATTCATCTTATTCTTCTTTTATTTCTTCTTCATATTATTTTTTTAATTTATTTTCCTTTTCGCATTACTATTGTTTTAGTTCTTTGAATTATTTTTTTTATCCTTTTTCTTATTCTTATCCTTGTTTGAACTCTTTTCTTTATTCTAATTATTTATCTTTATTTTACTTTTCTCCGTATTTTTTCTCTTATTATTCTTATTTATTTTATTCTTCCTATATTTTATATTTTTCCTGTTCTTATTCGTCCTTATATTGATATTTTTCTTATCTTTCTTCATATTATTATTCTTCTTATTATGCTTAGTTATATATATTTTCATCATATTATTTTTAATTTTTTTGTATCACTTTATTTTCATGTTTTAAATACACTTCTTATTCTTATTAGTTTGAGTATTAATTTTCGTTACTTTATAAAATTTATTTTTGTTCTTATATTTGATTCTTATAACTTATTTATTCTATTTATTTATTTGATAATTAATATTTTTATATATTATTTTATGATTATTCTAGAATTTAATTTTTCTCATCTATTTAATTATATTCCTTATTATCATCTTTATTATTTTTAGTTTATTTAATTATCTAGTTTATTTTATTTTCTTATTTTTATTCAACTACCATTTAGCATTTTAAATTTTAATTTTTTTCTTAGTTATAATCATCATCATCTTGTAATCGTTAATTAATATTTTCTATTTATATATTTTCAGTTTTTATATAATTATTATTACTAGAATTATATGACAATTAATCACTTATACTGTTAGTTTTATTAAGAGAGTCATCTTAAATATATTTATGTGTATTTTATATTTTTTATTCTTAACTTTTATTATCTTAGTTTATTTTTTCTGTATTAAATAGGAATTCTTACTATTATTAACTTATTATTTAATTATTTTTATTGTTATCTTAATTATTATTATTATTTGTTTTATTTTATTTTTATTTAATCTTTAGTTTTTATTATTTATTTTAATTTGTTTAATCTTTTGATGCTTAAATGTTGTTTTCTATTTACTATTCTTATTTATTATTAAATTCTTGTTAATCAAATTAACTAGTATTATTTTATATATTTCCTTATTCGTCTTTGTTAATTTTATTTTGTATTTGAGATTCTAAAGTTTCTTATTTTTATAATTTAGGTTGTTCAATATTTTCTTAATATTTATTAGAATAAATTTATTATACATCCTATTTTATGTTATCCTATTATTATTTTTAATCAATAATTTTTGAAATTTAATTATCTTCTATATTTTAAATTTCAATATTTTTATATTCTGAAACTTATTAAATTTATGCTTCTTTTATATCCTCAATAGAATTTTATTAAATTACTTTTTATTTTTTATTATCTATATTTAAATAATTTTTTTCGTCTTAAGTAATTTAGATTTTATTTTTTAAAGAAGTCAAAGGCATTTTTATATTAGAATTTTAATTAGATTATATATCTGTTTTTAAATTAGCTATTTTTTATTAATCTTTTTTATCTAAATCATCACTTTTTAATTTAATATTTTATTTTTAATTTATCAATAAAGTTTCTTCTTTTATTTCAACTTTTTATTCTGGTTAATAAATATCGTTATCAGTTTAATCATTTATTTTTACATTTTGGATACCGTATTCATCTTCTTATGTATTTTAATTTATTTCCAAACTTTCTTATTATTATATTTAAATATTATCAATATTAATGTTGGTTTATTATGTATCATAGTTTTATAAAATTTATTACTATTATTCATTACTTTATGGGATTTGTTTTTATTCATTTAATGTATTTTAACATTCATTTTGTATTTATTTTGATTAATTTTTTGCTTTATTTATGTTTTGATTAATTTATTATTATTAATTATTTTACTAAACTTATTATTCCTAATTTATATCTTCACTTTATTGGTTTTGGATATTTTCATTTTATTAATTATGAGTATTTTCATAAAAAATTTAATCTTTTGAATTTATTTTTATTTTATTTTCTTATTTATATTTTTTAATATACTTCTAATTTTCTTATTTATTTTTTTAAAAATCGCTTTCAGATTGCTATTTTAATTATTACTAAGAGATATATTTTTATTATATTTCTTCTTATGGGCTTATATCATTTTATTTTTAAATCTATTAATTACTTTCTTTTTAAATTTCTTTTTTTTATTATTGTTAATGTTAATAACTTTATTGTGTATTATAATTGATATTATCTTAAATATTTTAATTTTATTAATCTAATGTGTATAATTAATTTTCATCGTTTAAATTTTCATTTTCGATAATAGAAATATTTTAGATTAATTATTCATTGTTATTTTATATTTCGTTTTATTCTTAAATTTGTTATTCTGAAAGTCTTTTTTCTTTTATATTATTTTTTTATAATTTTTTTTTTTTTTTTTTTTCTGGGCTTTTGTTAATTTAATTTGTTTGATCTTTTTTTTATTCTTTTTCTTAACTTAAACTCATATTATTATCTTAACTTTTATCATATTCTTAAATTTATTAATTACTTATTTACTGGTCATAATATTCTTATAAATATTAATCTTACTATTATTAATCAATATTTTATTATGAATTCGTTTTATTTTGATTTTATTAATATTTATTTGTTTATTTTTAATCATTTTCAAATTCTTATTTTACTTTTTATTTTTAATAAGGTTTTTATTCGTCTTCTTTTTTTAATTTAACTTAATTTAAACTTTATTTACTATTTTATTATTTTTAAATTTATTAATTATTTTTATCATTTAAAATTTCTTATTAAATGTTTATATCTTAAACTGCATTGTTATTATGTTTTATTAATTATTTTTAGACTTATTGTATTTCTTTTTTATTAAATTAACTTATATAATCATTTTATATTTATTATTATTCTTACGATATTTATATTTTTAATGTTTCATTTTCTTAATGTTTGTTTTTATTATTAAGTTAATCATTTTCAATCATATCTTAAGTTTATCTATTATTTTATTATTAACATTTGTCTTCATATTCATTCTAAATATATTATTTATGATCTTCTCTTTATTTATTTTATATATTATATTAATGATACTCTTAAATTTTATTTTGTTCAGCTTTTTATATTTAAAAATCTTTATGTTATTATTTTTCTTCTTGTTATTCTTTTAATTATTCTTTTTCTTATTATATTTTCTCATATTCTTCTTCTTATATTTATTCGTGTTCTTCTTCTTCTTCATCTAATGTTTATTCGTGTTCTTCTTCTTCTTCTCCTTATGTTTGTTTGCATTCTTCTTCTTATATTTATTCGTGTTCTTCTTATTCTTATTCTTATTCTTATTCTTATTCTTATTCTTATTCTTATTCTTATTCTTATTCTTATTCTTATTCTTATTCTTATTCTTATTCTTATTCTTATTCTTATTCTTATAATAATTATTTTCCTTATTATTATTATAATTATTATTCTTATTCTTATTCTTATAATAATTATTGTTCTTATTCTTATTCTTATTCCTATTCTTATAATAATTATTGTTCTTATAATAATTATTGTTCTTATTCTTATTCTTATTCTTATTCCTATTCTTATAATAATTATTGTTCTTATAATAATTATTGTTCTTATTCTTATTCTTATTCTTATTCTTATTCTTATTCTTATTCTTATTCTTATTCTTATTCTTATTCTTATTCTTATTCTTATTCTTATTCTTATTCTTATTCTTATTCTTATTCTTATTCTTATTCTTATTCTTATTCTTATAATAATTATTTTCCTTATTATTATTATAATTATTATTCTTATTCTTATTCTTATTCTTATTCTTATTCTTATTCTTATTCTTATTCTTATTCTTATTCTAATTCTTATTCTTATTCTTATTCTTATTCTTATTCTTATAATAATTATTGTTCTTATAATAATTATTGTTATTATTCTTATATTTATTCGTGTTCTTCTTATTCTTCTCCTTCTTATATTTATTTGTGTTCTTCCTCTTCTTATATTTTTTCGTGTTCTTCTTCATCTTATATTATTTATTCGTGCTATTCTTCTTCTTATGCTTTTTTGTGTTCTACTTCTTATGTTTTTTACTGTTCTTCCGGTTTTTATATTTTTTCGTGTTCTTCTTGTTCTTATATTTTTTTGTATTTTTCTTCTTATTATTATAATTTTTCCTCTTATTAATAATTGTAATTTTCGTTTTAATTTTAATTTTCTTATTGTTCTTCCTTTTCATCTTATAAATTATATTATTTTTTATATTTTTAATTTTTTAATATTATTATTATTTTTATTTTTTATATTGTTAATTTTATTATTCTTGGTTTTATTCATTCTCAATTTAATTTCCTTCGTCATTTTTACTTAGTTAATCTTATAATTATCCTTAAATACTATTGTTTTAATTATTTTAATATTATTGTTTATTTTTATATTTATCTTTATTTTTCTTATGAATTAATTATTATTATTCTATTTAACTTTCATTTTAATTAAGTTATTGTTAGTCCTTTTGATATTCTTTTTTATATTATTATTTCTTTTAATATTGATATTATTATTCTCCATCTTAATTTTCATATTATTTTTCTTATTCATCTTCTTTATTTTATACACTATTATCTTCTTCATATTTTTCTTTTTTATCTTAATATTATTCTTGATTAACTTATTAATTTTATTATCCTTTTCCACTTTAATATTGTTTTTTTTTTGATATTCATCCTTTTATTGTTATAAATATTATTCTTCTTTATTTTATAATTATTCGTCACATCCATATTATTTATCATTTTAAATTTATTATTTTTATTTTTTTATTTTATTTTTTTATTCTTAATATTATTACCTATTTTACACATTTTTATTCAAATTATTTTAATCTTCATTATATATTTATTAGTATTATTTCAAATTTTACGAATCTTAATTTTATTCATTCTATTTTTAGATTTATTAATTTTTATTTTGTTATCCTATCTAATTTTAATTAATTATTTACTAATCTTTTTTATCTTCTTATTCTTTTTACTAATATAATTATTATATATCAACTTATTTAGTTTTATTTTCTTTTTATTATTAATCATTAATATTTTGCTTTTATTATTATTATTCTATTTCTTATACTTATGATAATTATTATTAAATATACATATCATCCTACTAATTATTTTTATTTATTTATTATTATTAATTATATTATTTTTTATTTTATTTTTATAATTCAAAGGCTTTTTATTATTCTTAGATTTAATTTTTTTCTTATATTTTATTATTTTATTATTTCATTTATTATTCTTAATTTAAATTTTTGTTTATATTCGAAATGTTTTCTTCAATTTTTTAATTTTCAAATAGATTATTGTTTTTAACATTTAATTATAAATTTTAGATTTTAGTTTAACTGTTAGAGGACTATTCTTTAACGATTTTTTAAGTTTTCTAATTTTTATATTCTTCAATTTAATCTTAAAATAGTTTTTTTTATTCATTAAGCTAGTAACTTTTTTCTGAAAATTAGGTCTAATCGTTTTCCTAATCTATATTAGAATACTAATCTTATTCATTTTCTAAATCTAAATCCTTTTATTATTAATTTTTTTCAGGCTTTTGAGTTATTTCTTCGCATTAATCTTTCTATATTTATTATGTAATATTGATTTTTTTTTTTTTTCTCTCGTTTTATTTTTATTATTATTTATTATTATTTACTTAATTTAATTATTCTTATTATTATGCTTTTTATATATTTAATTATTCTTATGTTTAATTATTGTTTTATATTAAATTTTAAATTTATTATTAAGACTAATTTAAATTTTAATTAATTTAAGTTTGTATGTTAGTTTATTATTTATTTGTTTAATTTTAAATTTGTAATTGTATTTTTTATTAATTTTTAACTATTTATTCATCTTAATTTTTATTATGTGATATTTTATTTTTTTCTTAGTTTATTTTACAATTTTAACTTTTTGTATCTGTTGTATTTGTATTTTTAATTTATTATGTTTTAATGATATTATTATTTTTTATTTTACTATTTTTTAAATTTTCTTGTCTATCGACTTATGTTATTTCAAAATTATCTTATAATTCATTAATTGGTTAAAAAATTTATAATACTTAATTTTCTGTTTCTTCATCTTAAAATTCTTATAATTTTGATTCTCCTTATTATTATTCTTCAAATACTTCATATTCAAATTATTCTTATTCTTATTCTTATTCTTATTCTTATTCTTATTCTTATTCTTATTCTTATTCTTATTCTTATTCTTATTCTTATTCTTATTCTTATTCTTATTCTTATTCTTATTCTTATTCTTAATTCTTATTCTTATTCTTATTCTTATTCTTATTCTTATTCTTATTCTTATTCTTATTCTTATTCTTATTCTTATTCTTATTCTTATTCTATTCTATTCTTATTCTTATTCTTATTCTTATTCTTATTCTTATTCT